CTGCTTGTCTGTTGTAGACGTTGAGAACGGTGTCGTCGAGGATATTGCTGGAGGGAGATTGTAGACGTTGAGAACGGCGTCGTTGAGGATGTTGTTGATTGAAGATTGCAGGCCGTGGTCGCCACTGTTTTGGATGAAGGCCTGATGGTCGACAATCCGTTTATTGGGAAGACCGAAAGCACAATCATCTGGTTGCTTATATACGCACAGCTCTCTCATGATGTAGTACTATTTCTTTCATGATGGAATATGAAATGAGAGGTGAAATGGAGTCATATGTCGAAGCAAGCCTTTTTGTAATGCAAATTACATTATGAATACCATCTATGAGCATGTTACAGTCTGGAATAATAAGGATCATTTAGCGAGAAGGAGCAAACCAGGAAGCAAATGTAAACTTCGTCATGTGTGTGTGTGTCATACCGTAGTCTGAAACCAATGATTCTGTAGGTGTACAGAAACTCCCACGGGCAAAACCGACGATCAATGCTTTTTAGGACGAGGAGGAATTGTAGGGAACATGAAATGAAACATTCGCGAGAGAATTACTAAGAAGCATAGTACAACTGATGCTAAAAAAATCATCTTCCAGGTTTTGAGACTCAAAAAGAGTGACTCAACACTTTCCACTACGTACGATGCGAATTGTATAACACTGTCAAAAACTTTTCCCAGAGAATTTAAGGTTGTGAGAGGGGGCTTTTGATCAGCTGCATAGAGTCCTGGTTTGATGAGGTCGTCGTTGACGTAAGATAACGTTCCTTTGATTGTAATGTTGGTACTTCCTCCAGGGCAAGAGGCGATGCAAGAGGAGAGGATGTTTTCCGAGTCGAAATGAAGAATCAATCGATTGAGATGTCCTCGTGTGGTACATTTTGCGATCTGAGTCTCGCCTGGGCAAGAGAGGAGCGCCGTAGTCTCTCCATCACTACTTGTGCAGACAAGGTCCAATGTAGCTCCAGAAATGCAACTATAGCAGCCCGTGAGGTCGCTGGCTATGAACGTACATTTACTGTTCTGGTGTAGGGACACCAAGTGGAGATCCTTCATGACTATCTGAAGTTGAAGAGACGATCCTATATTGAGTTTTGCAAAAACAGTTCCTGCCTGTTGTGTGAGGAGAAAGTTCTTTCCGACTAAGGGGAGTGGAGAAGGCTGCATTAGTCTCTTCAAGTTTCCATCGGGGCAGAGGCAAGACATCTTGTGAAATCCTTTTGAACATTTACATGTTTCGCTAGCGAAGAGGCAGCGGAATTTCTGAGCGTCTTGGAAGGTGGCGCACTGCAGTTGTCCAGCAGTGTGTGCAACTAATTGTCCTCGGTGGGCTGGTTTGATTATGGCGATGTCGTTTCCGTCTGACATGAACGTTGAGCCAAGTATTGGTAATTTTGGTGTGATGGTGCTAATCAGAGTAAGTCGCAACTTGTTCCAAGAGTTCACATTCCCCGGAGTGAGCTTCAATCTTTTTGACGTCATATTGTTTCCGTAACTCAGAGTGATGTCCGCAGTTACAGAGAGTTCCCAGCTGGGGCAGTTGAAGATAGTATATATTGAAGAAGAAATGGGTTTGGCGTACACTCGATAGAAAATGCAGCTATCCTCGCATAATAGGCAACCGCCACAAGTCAAACATCCACAGGTAGGAGTGCAGTAGGTATATCCGGGGCTTTTGTTTGCGATAGACGAAATTTCTTCCAGTGCATCCATGGGTTTGACGTTGTCACAAAACTTCTGGGTACAGCTACCTGCCAGGTAACAGCGATGGTGGGATTCTGATATCAACGCATGGTCTCGCGAGAAGAATTCGACTCTTTTGTGACAGCGGTATTGGATATCACGAAGAGTAACGGAAAGTATGCCCAAATGCTCATTTTTGTGGTCTCTTATTTGCAAACAGGTCTCTTGCTGCAAAGGTTGAAGTGCAATCATCGTTGCCTGATTGAGGGTACAATCCGTCGAGTTCTTGGAGATGGTGCAGACGTGCTCACTGGCAGTTAAGGAAGTGAACTGGGAGCACTCGATGCTTGACTGTATCTGGAGAAGTATCAAGAGTGTGCAGCTTACAATTCGCTTTGGTTTTTTCCGTCGTCGTTGACTGACATATCTTCTGAACTGCGTTTTCCGTCGTATCCATGGCATGTGATGAACGAGGTAGAGAAGCAATCTTATGAGAAGGCATATCGTTGCTGCTATCGCTTTGCAAAGAATGAGTATGACAGGAATAGTGAGAGCCGCTGCTACAAAAAGGGTAAACACTAATATGACTTGCAGAAGAGTCCAACACTGTGTATTGTATATCCACTCCCAACACAGTGTGCATCGCAGAGTTTCGCATATGGGGTGAGCTTTACATCCCACTTGCGCTTCGTGTACGATGGCGTTATTCATCAGTGCTTTTAGCCGTACAGTATAATCGTACATAATGAGGGAATTCGGGAAAAGAATGACTTCTGTCGAGACATTTTTCAGGAACACACAGTAGTTGTTGATGCAAGCTTCTAGCACTTGTAGTTGTATCTTGCTTGCGACTGTTATCCCTCCTTTGGAACATTGGGATTCCACGGGCGATGTCAGAGGTATGAAGCGACGACTTTTAATGTGATTACTGGGATATCCGTAATAGATTTTTGAGACCGTTCCCCAAGCCTTCACTATGATTGGCACCGTGTGTGAGGAATTCCAGTTGTCGACGACGAGTACTGCGAGGTTAGGACCAATGACGCAGAAGGTTTGCGGGTTCTCATGACATTTATGTGTTTTGGCGACAATGGCGCAAAAATGTGGTGTACCGGTTGATCTTCTTGCTGGTCGTCGTATCCATCCTTTGTGGTCTACACAGATGAAGTCATTTTCATCGATATATTCTTGAATGCTTATGGCCAGGGAGGGTACGAGGAATGTCCGGTTGTCGAAGAGTTGTACTTGGTTAAAAACTCCAATTTTCTTTGTGGAGTCGCACGTTGGTGAGTTGGAAAATGAGCAGACTTGTGGGGGCCGATACTGACGAATTCTCCTTGGCAGGGAGGAGAACGTAGAGGTGGCTGTCCTCCAACCGGTAGTGAAAGAGCAGGAGGTAGACCACGTTGGGCATTTGCATGGTTCCCCGCAGAGAGTAGTACTTGAGTGTCGATTCTCGAACCGTATAGCTCCGTAAGGACACGAAAGCGGGAACCAGCAGAATTTCTCTTCACCCGAGTCGTTGTACCGGGCAACCGCGACTCCGCGTGAAACGCACGAGGTGGCATAGATGACCGTTTTGTTGACATTGACTTCTTCGGGGCATCTCGTGTCGCTGGTCGTAGCGGAATAGGAGCCTAGTAGTTGTAACATGATGAAAGGAAGAATGCAGGACGTCTGAGCTCGAGCTCTGGACCTAGTTATCATCGGATGACGCGGCAATGGTTGTTGTGTCGGAGGTTCTTCAGAATTTTCAGGAACGGGTATTTCCAATTTGTAAACGAGGTTGTGTGGTCTTGTGATAATCCTTCTAGATGGCAGACGAATTTCCACAGATCTTTTGAAGTTGTCTTGAGATCCTATGATCTGTCCCATCCTCCATTGACCGCGATCAAGAGCAGGGTCATAGATGAGTACGAGGTCACCTTTCTTGGGGGGCTCCATTTCATGTGATCGAGATGTGGAGTGTTCACTTTTGTATTGCTCGCGAAGAGATGTCAAGTACTCCAAGTTCCAGCGTGCCCAAAATTTGGAGAGAACTTCTGTGGTACTTGCCCATGCTTTGAGAAGGGTATCACGTGTAGTGACGGTTGGAATCCACTCATCAGTGATTTCCTGTTTTGGAAAGGGGCCGGCTAGTCGGGTATGTGGACGAAGGAAATCGATTGGACGTAAAGGAAGATAATTGAGTTCGTTAATAACGTAGGTAAGGGGTCTGGTGTTAATGATTGCTTCGGTCTCCTTCATCAATGTCTTGACGTCCTCGATCGGCAGCAAGCGATTGTGAATGGAATGTTTAAAGGACCTCTTGAAGATATCAACCATTTTCTCGTATATCCCGCCTTGCCAAGGGCTAAAACTTGGTATGAATTTGAACTGAATTCTTTTCTTGGAACAGTAGTCGAGAATGTCGTCATCCAATGAGTCGTTGGAGATGGACGAGTAGCATTCGGCTATTGTTCTGAACGATGAGGCATTATCGCTGAGGATCCAGGAGGGACATCCAACACTTGCAATGAACCGTCTGAGCACATGAAGGACGGTTTGGCTGGTCATGTCGAGTACCAGGTCGACATATAGTGCCCGTGTGTTGAGGCAAGTGAGGAGCAGAATCCAGTATTTTTCCGTGATGTCACTTGATGATCGGTAATACATTGGTCCGAAAAAATCCATCCCCACGTTTTCGAAGGGGTAGTGGGGCTTGACTACCCTCTGGGTAGGATGGGTCGGGAAGGGAGGAAGTTGAAAGGGTTTTGCTCGATACCGTTTGCAATAGAAGCATTCATTTTCCAACACTCTTTTGACTGTCGCTCTTCCTTTAGGGATCCAGACTCGTTGTCGAAGTTCAGTGATAGTATGATTGAGGCCACAATGGTTGTTGTTTGAGTGAATATAAAGAATGAAGAGAGCAGTGATACGACTTTTGCTCGGTAGGAAAATGGGTGTACACGCCTCTTGAGCTAGAAGTGAGTTATCGATACGTCCTTGTGATTTCCACAGAAAAGTGCTGTTGCAGAGGAAAAGATGAAGTTGGTCACGTTGATCTGCTGAGGGTGGATTCTGTTGTTGTGCGAAGCGGAATATAATACGTTCCGCACGGGCTTGCAGAGTTGCGTGAGTAGAGCCAAAGAATGATTTAGCCTTCTTGGATTTGAGGGTGATGAACTTAAGAATAAAGGTGACTGTAAAAAGCAAAGAAGTCCATTTGCTGAATCGCGTAGGATCAAAAAGTGGTGCTTCTTCGGTGGCATACGTTACCTCTCGAAGAGGCGGCGTCGAGGTAAAGGTAGCTGTTTGTTGATTTTGCAGTAGAGCTATGTTTTCAGAAGGGCTTACCGGAGAAGGCCAGTCTACCTTTTCTTCTTTCAAAAACGATGCTCCTTGCCACCATTTCGGCATCGATTGCAATTCTTTGACGCTAGCTCCTCGACATCCGATATCAGCGGGATTGTCGGCTGTAGGGACATAGCGGATAGTAACGTCCGTGGTCAATTCTCGAATCGTTTTGACACGATTTCGTACGAAGACAGGAAGAGCCTTATCATTGTGGGTCCAGGAAAGGGCTACTGAGCTATCAGTCCAAAGAACCTTATGACGAAGTTTCACGTCGAGTTGCTTGGTGATGAAGTCGAGTAGTTTAGCGCCAACTGTTAGGGCTGCCAGTTCCATTCGGGGAATAGTGACTATTTGATGGAGTGGAGCGAGTCTTGACTTAGCCATCATAAGAAAGGCATGATGAGGGGGGCTGTGGCGTAGTTGAACTATGTAGGCTACAGCACAGTACGAGCTCCCTGATGCATCAGTAAATACATGAAGATCGAAGACGGGTGTCGCAGTTCTTCCAGGGTCAAGAGCAAAGCGATTCAATTTCACAGGCGAAATGGTCCATTCGTTGAGAATAGTTTGCCATTGATTATTCAATTCATCAGGTAAAGTTTCATCCCATCCGAGATTCCTTTTCCACAGAGATTGGAGGAATAGTTTTGCGATAAGTGTCACCGGAGCCAGAATGCCAAGCGGATCGTAGATGCTTGCGATTTGTTTTAGCACTTTCCTTTTTGTCCATTTGATGTCGGATGACGGTTTCTTCGGGAGATGGATCAAAAGTTCATCAGAGGAAGTATCCCATTGAATTCCTAACAGTTTTTGCAGCTTTGCGACTTTACATCGTTCTTCACGTTCGAAGAATTCGTTAAGTTCAGGACAATTGCTTGCATATTCCCTTAGGTTCATGCCAGCTTTCCTGAAGAGACTTTTGGACTCGTTGTAAAAGTCTATGCCTTCATCCTTATTCAGCACACCGTGGAATATGTTGTCCACATAGGTGTTTCGGAGGAGAGCTTCGGAAAGAGGGGTTGCAGTCGTTTCCATGTGATGGTGGATAGTTCCTGACAGAAGAAATGGGGAACAAATAAGGCCAAATGGTACGCGAGCGAACCGGTAAGTTTTGATGTTCGAGGTGGTGAACGGTTTTGTGATATCGTTCAGCCATAGGAAACGTGTATAGTCTCTGCATTCGACGTGAAGACCAACCATCAGAAAAGCTTTTTCGATGTCGCCAATCACCATGATTCGAAAAAATCTACAACGAAGAAGGATCCCCGCGAGTTCGGGTAAAAGAACTGGTCCTCTGTGAAGCACTTCATTGATACTGGGGTTGCCCTTCGTTTTGGCAGAACCGTCAAATACGCATCGTACTTTGATGTCGTGGCCATTTCCTTTGATGACTCCATGATGAGAGAGGTAGTGAGAGCATTTCGATAGTTCTTTGAAAGGTACCTGTTCAATTATTCCCCTTCGGAGTTGCTCCTTGATTATTTCGTCGTACCTCTTCATATAGGTTGGGTTGTTCGCCAAGGTTCTCACAAGTGTAGAAAGTCGAGAGAAAGCTAGGTTAAAATTGTCTGGAAGGCAAGCCGGATTTGTTTTGAAAGGCAACTTGACGACATACCGCTGATGTTCTTCGTCGTAGATGATGGTATCATTGAAGAATTTGAGGCATACTGCGTCGTCATTTTGTGCCGGATCGTCGAGGATTCCTATTGCCTCTAACTTCCAGAAGTTGCTCACAAGTCGGGATAGTTCATCGTAGTGGTTGGAGTTGGAGGCGGTATCTTCTTGTAATGCGCCGTAGGTTTCTGCGTTTCTCAAATTGAAGACTTTTCCCACGAAAATATTGCCGAGGTTGGTATGTATCATCCTGTGACCGTTTGGAAGTGTTTCATAGTAGAAGTCATCTGATAAGAGCATATCCCAGAAGTAGTCGTTACCAATCAAGATGGACGGTTTGCAGGTGGTTATCACAACATTGTGTTTTGTGCCTTGAATTGGGCGAACATGTTTCACGCGGCCTGTCAGGGTTGGGAGAGATTTCACTTTGAGACGTTTCTCTCCAGTCTCCATGACGATGCCGAGCAGGTGATCGCGAGATGTGACTTGGAGGGGTGTAGTGGAGCCGAATGTTGATATTGAGATATCTTCCGTTGTCAGAGTGGAAAGATTGAGGAGCTTTGCCAAATCATCTGTTATATAAGACTGACTGGATCCTGAATCCAGAAAAGCTGTCGCGGTTATTCGACGTGAGGGATCAGATGGATTGAACACTCGCACAGGCGCGCACATAAGGGCGGCATGTGACAGAGGTTGCTGATTGTAATTCTTTGTGCATTCAGTCGTGCAGGCAACTATTGTCGCGTCTTCGTTCTTTGGGCAGGAATCGGTTGGCGTTTCCATGGTTGCAGTAGTCTCTACAGTATTAGCGAAATGTTGGCATGATGTTCGTGGATGAGGAAGGAGAGCGATTTGTGCTTCTTCGTTGTTTGTGAGTTCTGAAAGTGTGAAAAGCACAGTGACGAGTGATGACGCCTTGAGCAAAATTTGCAGGAGTACTTAGAGGGGCAATCCTTGGTCGAGTGTTGATTCGATAAACAGTTGTAGCAGAGGCGTAGGGCTTTTTACTTTGACGTGACGACTGTCTGTCACAGTTAGGAAAAAACAGTGCCATCCTGAAAGCTTGATGACTTGGATTTGCACGTATGTGCACGCTTCTGTTGTTTGCGAAGAGCTGTAGCGTTTCCGCGGGACCCGAGCTGGTGGTTTTGTTTTGACAGAGACGTGGAAGCCGTGGTGAGCGAGAGAGATGGATTTTTTTTCTGCGATGATACTCCATTTCAAAGAGCACAGCATCTTTTCTAACAATGTCCTTGAGTAGGTTCAGCAGTTCACTTGGCGAAAGATTGTGGAATTGGACGTCCTGTCGTAGATCATGCTACGTATTCTTGCGGGTAATTTATTGATGAGAATTGCTCCGAGCGCTTTTTCGTCGTTGTCGTTATAACCATTTGTGAATTGTCGGATGAGAGCAAACATGCGGTTGTAGAGCGTTTGTAGGTTTACGTCCTTCTGGATCACAATCAGGAAGCTGAGCGAGTTTGGTGTAGAGTATGTGTTTGACAGTTACTTTGTCGTCGTAGTGTGTCCGGAGAATATCCATCGCTATGCGATAGTTTTCTGGCGTCATCGATAATCCTTGGATGGATTGTAGGGCGCGACCTCGTAGGCAAGACTTGAGAAGAGATAGTTTGGTTGTGTCATCGAGCTGTGTTTTGTTCCCAACGAGAGTTGCAAATCTGCAGGCAAATTCTGGATACTCAAGTAAGTTGCCATCGAATGTAGGTAATTCCAATTTAGCCAAAATCGATGCGTCGACGAAATTGAGGAGCGAATTGTCGTTCTGCATTCTGGCGGGTACGGTGCTGGTACGTTTGCAGTTGCTTTGCGTTGCAACTGCCGTGGTCGCCACTGTTTTGGATGAAGGCCTGATGGTCGACAATCCGTTTATTGGGAAGACCCGAAAGCACAATCATCTGGTTGCTTATATACGCACAGCTCTCTCATGATGTTAGTACTATTTCTTGCATGATACGTATATGAAATGAGAAGTGATGGAATATGAAATGAGAAGTGAAATGGAGTCATATGTCGAAGCAAGCCTTTTTGTAATGCAAATTACATTATGAATACCATCTATGAGCATGTTACAGTCTGGAATAATAAGGATCATTTAGCGAGAAGGAGCAAACCAGGAAGCAAATGTAAACTTCGTCATGTGTGTGTCATATGTGTGTGTGTGTCATACCGTAGTCTGAAACCAATGATTCTGTAGGTGTACAGAAACTCAAGAATTCTTTACAGTACAATGAAGAGGAAGAACTAGTCTTCATTCATATCAAGTGAATAAAAGCATGGAAATAAAAGCATGGAATACATAGAAACCATAGAATCAATACATATCAAAATACTCAAACTAAAAACATTTCACTAAACCATAATAACATATAAGTGATACAGGACCCGTACTCATAAATAAGGCGTAAGTAAGGCATAAATGGAGCATGTCAGAAAAGGTGAAGAGATCTAATGGAGATTCAAAAACGATACCAGCAAAGGACACATGGAACAAAAAAGATATGGTAAGTACTTTACGTGAAAGAAATGATCTAGAATTTGACTAGGGACTGTGTATACAATGTGAAATACATGACGAAGAAATACAAAAAATAATACAAATACAAAGTACAATGTGTATATAATTTAGAAGAAAAACATCACAGACTAGTTTTTGCCTGCCCGTATACATTAACAGCTCCATCACCGGTTGTCGCGACCAATGTCCCGAAGATCTTGCTCGCATCGGCGGATGGGACCTTGGCCACGCAGAATGTGGATATTATAAGGGTCCACACACCCTCCAGGGGGGATTGTCACGCCAGAATGCTTTGAGTGGCAGCCAAGTGCTGCAGCCTGCCCCGGGTCTTGCTGAGGCCCTTACAACCCCCTTTGCTGAGGACAACATTGACCGTATTGACCGTGATAAAGATATTGACGACTAAACGTGTTAATTACTGCTACATGACAGAACGCAAGATTATTACTACTTTTATGACAGATATCTACAGACATATTAAGGCAACTAATATGACATACACGATAACACGGTTAATGAGACAGAGAGAGAATGAGATGAAGAGGACTAAGAAAGGAGGATGAGAGAGAATGGCCGGATAGACTATTAACGAGGGGACTAACTGGAATAGGCATACTACCGGTCCGCCGGGCTTGAAGATGACATAAAGGCGGGAGAGAAGAGAGCTGATGACTTAAGGCGTAAAGCTCACACGTTGTAGACTTCTCCGCAACCGGCTACTCGGGACGAACCATTCACAGCGACGACATGATGCAACTCTGGTGACGTGTCGAGGGCGCGCGGCGAGAGACGACAGACGTTAGCGTATTTTCTCACGCCGTTGGCGCCGGTCCGTTTGAATCGTGAGAAAGCGTTCAATCGTAGCACTGGAGCGCGGTTTCCTTCCGGCGCATGCCATAACAGATGTCCAGGTCGTACGTAAGTCACGACACCGGTGGCGATAGCAATCATTGATCTGAACATTTAAAATCATGAAGTAGTTATTAGTAGTTGGGAGCAAATTAGGAGAGGGCGCGAATGAACTTGCTTGTAGTATGGAATCGAGCTTGTACAAGAATTTAAGAAGCACACCTAAGTTTGTGCATGGCAACAGCAGCTATTATTTCTTGAGTTGACCTCGGCACTTCTGACGAATATAGGTACACCGCAAATGTCATATAACTTGATCTCAGCTTTCAACACACAAGCGAACATCTGAAATAACGCAAACTGAGGACTTGTCCGCAGAGATCAAATTCAGTGAAGGATCTGATGAGCGAACCTCAGCATTCTTGTGCACAATGAAATTCCTAAGCGGCTCGTGTGTTTCGTGGCCCGCGTCTATTTCGACCACTGGCACCTAAATATGTTTCAGTGATATTTATCGCAAGCTGGATGCCCAGGGAAACGAAGTTGGTCGAAAACATAAAAAAAAATCGGTAAGGAAATAAGACAGATAGACCTATGAATGTGATTCAAGAAAGCAATGCCAAAAAACATCTGCAAGGAAAAGGAAAATAGCATAAAATTCCCAGCTCTTGAATTTGTTGAAGACGGACTGACGGGGAAGGTAAGCTTACTAGGTAAGGCAAAATGGCTATATGCAATAAGACCTACACTATAGGATTAGCTTTTGGACGCCGCTCTTGATATCCACC